TGACATTTTGTAGTCGAGTTCGTGGAGATTGCCCAATAATCTCCAATTTTATGTACAAATACTAAATCTGGATAAGGTTCAATGCGGCATGCTGTTAGCGGTGTATCAGTTAAAACTTGATAAATGCACGTGTCCTGAAGATCTCTTTGGATAACTGGTGTTATACTGCATGATGTCATCACTTCAAAACAACAATATTCTGCTTCTTCTCGGGACCATCGAACAAACTGACGAGAATCTGGATGAATTCCTATGTATGCTGGCATTTGAGCAAGTCTAACACGTTTATGTGCATGGTTAAACGGAATTGGTATCGGTTCATAAATAAAAAATGGTTTTTCATCATAATTTGAAGCTGCGAAGTACGAAGTAAACACTAATTCTCCGATGATTGCACCATAGATTGAAGCTCTTAATTGGATTGTAGGAATAAATGAAATCTCTTGACGAACGAGTAGCCGAGTTACTAAATCTACCATTGATATTGAGCTATTGTTGTATTCAAATAAGATGTTCGTTTCTTTTATGATATATTCGATAGCTTTTGGTATATCATCGTGATGAATAAAATGTAAATTAAGGTTACCCCTTAGAATACCTTCAATTGAGGTGTGTAAGAAATGGCCCTCGACGTTATGCATAAATACGTTGAGTTTATTATTAATAAAAGTTGAAAATTCACCAATTCTTCTTATGGCCTCATCATGACCCCGTATTGTGTCTGAATGTTGATTAACAAGATGCATTGTTCGATTAATCGCTTGTTGCGTGCTGTTAAGTTCCGCAGCTGGTTTGAGGTGCCCACCTGTAAGTTGTAGAATTTGAGCATCCTATGTGTATTTCGTTTTCTGAAGTGTTTTAACTGTTTCTATTGCTGTCTTCACTTCTTGTTTTAAGTTTGCTGTTTGAATCATATTCATGGTCGATAAAGATAGAGCTGCAGTGCTCATACCAATAGAAACAATATCAGTCAAAAATCTTTTGTTTCTATTTATCACTTTAGGCTTTTTCGTCGTCGTGAACTCGCGATTAATAAAGTTTACGAAATTGACTATTAAATTGCATCGTGGGATTTTTTTAAAGGCAGAAATTGGAATTAAATAGCACATGTCAGCTACCATAGGGATCACTGTCGATAATGTGACAATTCTTTCGCAGGTCTATAATCTGATATATATTGTAAAATCAATCCAGAAGTTGGATGAACAATATCCTGTTTTGCTAATATCAAATCATCTGATTTGGAGACTTTTGTGAGAGTGATTGCTAAAAATAAAACAATTCTCAAATTAATACTTGCCATTAAATTAATTCTTTTATCGTATAAGACCATAACTTTTCCTTTCTTTGGTAATATTCTTCTTCAAAATGATTGTTCTTATAAATTTAGAACATATGTCGCTCAATTGTTAACCACTGCTTCATAATTCGTAATATCCTTCATATATACACATATATACGATCATTTTTTTTAAGTTGGAGCATTTATTCTTTAAATGTGAGCCTTTATTTTATTTTTTTATTATGCAAAGATGTGATGGAAAAGATCCTGACAGTAAAAATTAGAAGAAGAAGAAAAAAATAAAATAAACTAAAATAACAATAAAAAATAAATAAGTTTAAGAGTAAAGACACCCATAAAAGGAAAGTGCCACCCAAACATTTGTTTTGTAAATGTTGGTCTTTGTCTTATATTTTTTCAGTTATTGATCTTGAGAACTTTTGAAGTACGCAGTTTGTTGTCGTCCATCTATTTGTAAATTATGTAGTTGTATAAGATCATTTCCAACGATACATAACCGAGATAACAGAGGAGCAACATAAACTGTGTGATAACGGGTCGAATTTGAAATAGTAACAGGTAATGAGAGAGCATGTAAGATTTTCAACCGAGATCTATCCGCTAATTGAACAGATAGAGAAGGTGAGGACAATTGAGCTTGTTGACGAAGATAAGAAGGTAGTTTTGAAAATAGTCTTTTGTCAATGAGCGTTAACGATGATCCTGAATCAATGAGTAAAGGAACTGTTATTCCAGCTATTTTTCCTGAGATGATGAGAGGATTGTGTTTGGTAAAATTAACTGGATAAACGTGAGGTATTGTTTTGACGGGTTGTTCTATAAATGAGCGTCGACATGCCGTCTTCCCAACGCTCTGTGTTCGTTTTTTGAATGATAATTTTTTGGTGTTGATGGAGGAAAAAAATCTGCATTATTATTGGGACAATCTTTGGAAAAATGTCCAAGAATTTCGCAACTACGACATTGAATAGAATTTGAGTTTTTCGACGAATGATTATCCGTAGTAAATTGAAAATTAATGTTCGTATCTTGCGACGAGTTACCGTTGCTCCATTGTTTTTTTGTGTCATATTTGTTTCGTTGATGGAAGGCATTTTCTTCATCTGACGAATATTCTAAATTTGAAGATTGAGTTGATTTAGAATGATTTGTGTGATCATCATTGTAATGTTTATGTGTATCTAAAGTATTGTTTTTAAATGAAATTTGTTTAAAACACTCTACTAAACATTGTTCTTGGTTACGACGATATAATATTTCTTCAACTTTTTGCGCTTCCGATATAATATCATCCAGGGAAGCACCAGGGATTACACCCATCATAGTAAGTAAATCGCTTCGCATTTTGCATAGTAAATGTTTTATGAAATCAGCTTCCGTTTCTTTTGGTTTTTGTTCAGACCAAATAGCGCGTAAGCGGATCAAAAATTCATTGATAGTCTCATTTTCCCATTGTTTACATTCGCACTATTCTTGTTCTTGACGAGCAATTAGTATAGGGGGATTGAATTGAGAGAGAAATAAACTGACAAATTCTGCCCATATTTGTGGACGTCGATGAGAATCTCTTAATTGACAACACGAATCTAATGCAGTATCTCGTAAAAATTGAGAAATGCCAAGGAGTAGAGTAGGTTGATCCCATCCATATACTGTTTCAGCATATTCTTGAATACGGATTAGGAATTGATTGGGACTTTCTGAATATTTTCCGGAGAAAGTTGGTATTGCCGTCGGTGAAGGTATTATAATTGTATGCGACTTTGATGTCTTAACGTCATTTGCTTGAAGAGGACGCATAGTTTTATTATTGTTATTTGAGTGGTCATCTATATTTAACACTGGTTGAGTTGATATTAAATAATCGTTTGTCGACTTTGGAGACTTTTGGATATTTTGTGATTCTGATGGTTCTTCGTTAGTTAGAGAATATAATGTTCGCATAATTTCATTTCATTGTTGTTTGATTGCATCAAATTGCTGTTTTGCTTCCTCTAAGGTTGATGTCGTTTTCATATGCATCTCAGTAGTTTGGCTCTGTATATCGATGATTCGTGAATCCATTTCTTCATGTTTTTGCGTAATAATTTTGTATATTTGATTATATTTCTCTTCTAATTTTGAAACTCGCTCTGCATTGCTTATGCAAATATTTTGAATGCGTTGAACAGCTTCTTCTAGTGGAATTTTTTCAGTTGGACTCTTTTCAGATGGCATGATTTTTTAGTAATCAACAACGATAATAATGATTAATAACTATTTTTGTTGAAAATAGTACAAAAAATTAGAAATTAATTAGAAATATGGTCGTTTGAGTTTGATTTGGTGAATTATGCAGGATTGTTCTAATATATAGGTTGAATAATACGTTAAAGTAATAAATTAATATATATTTATTAATGGTTGCATACTAAGACTTCAGAAATAATAGATCAGAAAAGAAACTAGAACTAGTAGACACAACGCAATAATAACTTCAATTGAGAACCGATAAGAGTCTGTCCAAGATTAAAAAAAAACTAGGAGAGCAATTTCTTCTCTATATACATCAATACAGGTATGCGTAAATCAGCAAGAGAAAGAAAAAAAATGAAA